AAGTTTCTCTGTAGATTTTTCTGTATTAAAAACTGCTGGTTGGTGGCTTATGTCTGTAATCCCAGCACTTGGGAAGCTTGAGGTTGGGTGGATCCACATCCTTGCGCCCAAGGAATTTGAGACCACCTTGGGCACATGGTGGAGAACTCCATTCTCAATAGAAAAAAAAAAAAAAAAGCAAAGGAAAACTGGTTGTTGGTGCCACAGGCCTTGCGGTCCCAGCTACATGCAAGACTTGCTTGGGCCCAGGAGGTCTAGGCTTTCCAGTGAGCCATGATTGCATTGCTCACTTCCAGCCAGGTGACAGCAGGTGAGATATGTCTCAAAAAAAAAAACCAAGAAAACCAAAACCAAAAAACCTTTGTGGTCGCGGGCACAGTGGCTTATGCTTGTAATCCTGCACTTGGGAGGGCTTGGGGTGGACAGATTGCTCGAGCCCAGGAGCTCACAGACCAGCCTTGAGTAACACGGTAAAACTTTCTCTACAAAAAATACAAAAATTAGCTCTAGCCTAGATAGAGAGCTGATGGGGAGGGATCCTTGAACCTGAGAGGTTAAGCTGCAGTGAGCTGTGGCTGCCCACTATTACTCCAGTCTCGGGTGACAGCTGAAACTTTGTGTTTTTTCAAATAAAAAAAAAGCAGACAAACAAACAAGCAACAACAAACAACCCTTGCGGGATTATAGTATGTTTTTACCATTTTATGTAAATTGGACTTATTATATAGAGACCAGAATTTTCTGGGCCTCAAGTGACTCCTGCCTCAGCTTACCCAAGTCACTAGGAATCTTACAGGTGTGTACCCCACACTCAGCTGATTTCAGAAACATTTTAATGTGTTTAATTTTATGTAGAGACAGAGTTCTTACTATGGTTACCCTGGCTGGGTCTTGGACTCCTGGCCTCAAGCATTCATTCGTGCTTTCTGATTTCCCAACGGATGGGATAGGGGACTAGAAGGTTTTGGAAGCCACTGTGCTTCTTCACTTGGACTGACTTATTTCAAATTGAAGTAATTTAATGTATTTGTTGGTGTTTAGAAATTTGAAATTTCAAAATAATTACATTTTCCTTTAAGGTGTGGCAGAATGTGTCTTGGCTCTTGGGTTTGAGAAGATGAGTAAGGGAAGCCTTGGAATAAAAGTGAGTGTTATTTTGGCATAGTTACTAAATGAGCTAATATAACCCAAAAGTTGAAAAGTGATACTTATATGTATGCATAGATCTTGGTAGTTTAGAATAGTGAAGAATCTTAGAGATAATTTTGTTCAAACTGTTTATTTTACCAATGATGAAACTGATGTTCAAAGATATGAGATTATTGAATTTGAAGTTGACTTATCTATTTAATTTGAAAGCCATTCATTTATTCATTTTTTTGATCAATGAATTACATTCAATAAATGAAATTCATTCAACAAATTGAAGAGAGTTAATAAAATGTGGGACTTCTAATTCTGGTAATGGCAAGCCAAGTTTTTTGAGCCAGTTCTCTCACTGATGACAACTAAAATATTTGGATAGAATATGAAAAAAGAAATCCTAAAGGTATTAGAGAACTAGCAAGAGAGAGGAAGTGCAGATGAATGCCAGAGAATTAACATCAGCATTTGCAACTAGTTTTGCCTTAAAGATCTTTGCTGATCAGGCAGCTGTGAGCCACAATTTTGACAGCCCCCTGGAATGAAAGGGGAAGTAGTCAAAGCTCAGACCTTCCCAAGATCAGAAGTTTAATACCCACATTAAATTGATACTGTGTAAGGGCAAACTCTTTGGGTAGGACGAACCTGAAGTAAAACTGCCCACTTCCATGAGATGATAGGGAGAGTTACCATGGCATCCAGTAAAACAGGGGAGAAAAAAAAAAGAGAATAAAAAACCCAGTAAAACCTTTCATTGAGTTAATAAATCACAGACTAGCCCACATGTGGGATCACTGCCAACATTCTCATTATCTGAGTGGTCCAGGAAACCTCAAACCATGAATTGAATCTAAAGTAGTTCCAGAATGGTAGTAACCTAGCCAGATTTTCTTCTGGAGGAAAGCACCCTTCTTCCAGGCTTTGAGAGCCCTTCAAGTAAAATTTCAAGGACACGCAGTTAAAGATAACCTTAAGTGTTAAAGAAACAAGGCACCACAATTGAGAACCGAAAGAAAGAAGGAGCAGTAAAAGGTAATCTCTGAAGACTGCCAAAACTAGATTTATTGGATGCAGATTTAATCATGTTTGTTATGTTTAGAGAAATAAAAGACAGCTTGGAAACCTCTTTAGGCTATAGGAAACTACAAAAAAGAACATTATTGGCATGAAAAAAAAAAAAAACCCTAAATGGAATTTATAGAAAAGAAAAGAAAGAAAGAAAATTAAAAATTCACTCATGCCTGTAATCCCAGCACTTTGGGAGGCTGAGATGGGCGATCACTTGAGGCCAGAAGTCGACGACCAGGCCGTGGCGCAACAGGCAAAGAACCATCTCTACTAAAAATACAAAAAAAGTCTAACAGGGTTGGTGGTTGTGCGCTCGGTTAAATCGCAGGCTACTCGGAGCTGAGCAGAGACTTGCCTGAGGCCAGGAGGTGAGTTGCGGTGAGCCAAGATTGCCATTGCATTCAAGCCTGTGGCGACAGAGTGAGACTCTGTTTCCTGTTTTTCTTTTTGAGACGGAGTCTCGCTCCTGTTCTCCCAGGCTGGAGTGCAGTGGCTGGTCTCAGTCACTGCAAGCCTCCACCTCCCAGGTTCCCACCATTCTCCTGGCCAGCCTCCAGTAGCTGGAACTACAGAGCGACCGCCACCCCCGGCTCATTTTTGTCCTGTTTTTAGTAGGACGGGGGTTTCCACCGTGATAGCCAGGTATGGTCATCAGACTCCTGACCTCGTGATCTGAACCGTCTCGGCGCTCCCAAGTGCTGGGATTTTACAGGCTTGAGCCATCGGTGCCCGCCTGAGACTCTGTTTCAAAAGAAAAATGAGTGTTGTGTTGTGGTTGAAGATAACTTTTTTACTGTTATCTAAAATTATACCTATTTCATAACTTATGTGATCAACTGAGTCCGTTTTCTCTGTTAAAGCGTTAAAGTGACCTCTAGCCCAAATTACAAATACATATGATAATATTTTCTGTAGAAACACAAGAAGTGGCAGCGTAATAGGCATCACAATCAATAAGCTTGTTTCCCGCCTTTAAAGAACACCTTTGAAAGTGGGTAGAAGTTAGATCGGATAATTTAGGAGGGATAAGGGGAAATGTTGTTCTTCCTAGATGTCAGAGAGATCATGAGCCTAGTTCATGGGGGTCTGAATGAATATTGATGCACCATGGGACAGTTTAAAAAACTGTCTGGATATAGGAGGGGCAGCTGGAGTAGAGGAGAAATAAGGTGTATGTAAGGTATATAAGTTTATGGCACACTATGAAAACATACGTGTTTTTCAGCAGTAAATGGTACGTGCCCTGGTGAAGGCGTTTTATTGAAAAGTTATTACAGAATTAGTTAAAAATAGTAAACATCATCCCGATAATCCCATAGTATATTAAAAGGAATATATATAAATTGAAGTCCCTCCTTCTGCGTGATTTTTTTTTTTGAGACCCAAGTCTCCCTCCCAAGTTCAAACAGAAGGACTGCACTACGCAAGTCAAACGTTTTACCTTAAAGCTCCAAGTAATTAAGACGTGTGTGTATTGACCAAAAAAGTTTCAGACAATTAGACAAAGGAGTGATAAATTAGAAAAGAATAAAGCATTTCAGAAATTGGACGTACATAATATAGGTCAACGATCTTTGACAAAGAAGCAAAGGCAATAGTAATGAAAGAAGATAATCTTTCTCAACCAAGTCGTTCTGGACAACTGGTATCCAATGAAATATGACTCCAGCACGGACGCTTACACTCTTTTTTTTTTGTTTTGTGGGGTTTTGAGAGTAGTCTCTGTTTCCCGAGCTGAAATGAGTTCAGTGGCACTGGTCTTGGCGCACTTAACCTGCCGCCCTGTTTCAAGTGATTCTCCGCGCTTAACCTGCCAAAGTAACTGGGATTACGGAGGCGCCCCACCACCAAGCTGGGCTGAGTTTTGTACTTTTAGTGTGAGACGGCAGGTTTTACTCATGCTTGACCAGGCTGAGTCTCAAACTCCTGACCTCAGGCAATCCACCTGCCTCGGCCTCCTAAAGTGCTGGGATTACAGGTGTGAGCTACCGTGCCCAGCCACGTTTTTTCACAAGCTTTTTAGATATCTATTGAGATGTTCTTATTTTGTTTGTTATTCTTTTTTAGTTTGTTAATATGATGAATTATATTTGTTGATATTTGACTGTTGGTCTATCCGATATTCTGGGGTAATGTTTGGTATTTGGTCATGATATATTATCCTTTTTATATATTATTGGATTTGATTTGCTAATCTTTTTCTTTTAAGTGATGGGTTCTCCCTATGTTGCCCAGGCTGGTCTTAAGCTCCTGGGCTTGAGCAATCCTTCCGCCTGGGTCTCCCAAAGTGTTGGGATTACAGGTGTGAGCCACCGCGCCTGGCCTGATTTGTTAAAATTTTGTTAAGGATTTTTGTGTTTATGTCTGCAAGGGTGTTGGTTTGTTGTTTTCTTTCCATTGTGCAGGTTGGTCTTGAGCTTCAGGGCTCAAGTGATCTGCTCACCTTGGCTTCCCAAAGTTTTGGGATTATAGGTGTGAGCCACCACACCCAGGCTAGTTTTAATACGAGAATAATGCTGGCCTCATAGAATAGCTGGGAAGTGTTCTCTTTTCTTCTGTTTTTTCGAATAGTTTATATGTAAATTGGTATTTTTTTCTCTTAAATTTTTGGTAGAATTCACCAATTCACCAGTTCACATTTGATTGGGTGACTTCGTTTCTTTTCTTTTAAATTTTTTTTTTTTTAAGATGGAGTTTCTCTCTTGTTGCCCAAGCTGGAGTGCAATGGCACAATCTCGGCTCACCGCAACCTCCGCCTCCCAGGTTCAAGCGATTCTCCTGCCTTAGCCTCCCGAGTAGCTGGGATTACAGGCATGCACCACCACGCCCGGCTAATTTTGTATTTTTAGTAGAGATGGAGTTTCTCCATGTTGGTCAGTGTCTAGAAACTCCTGAACTCAAGTGATCACCGTGTCTCGCTCCCAAAGTGCCTGGGGATTACAGGTGGGACTGCCAGGCCGGGCCTATATTTTTTATTTGAGATTTGTTTTTGGCTCAAAGCGTAATGTTGTAGTTTTTGAAAAAATATAAATGTGCACTTGAAAAGCTGTAATGTACTTTGCTTCTTATGACGAGAGAAGGATCTGTAAATGCGCTACTTATTTGTTAAATGTTGGAAAGGTCTGATAAGGTTGGTCAAGGTCGTTTTATGGGACGGGATTTTACTGGGATTTGTTGCTGGTTCTTGTCCAGTTATTGATGAGAAAATATTGCCCGAATCTGCTGGCTAGTATTGTAGATTGTCTATTGTGTCCTTCAGTTCTTTTTGTTTTTTTTTTTTTAAGATGGGTCGTCGCGCGTCACGCCAGCTGGAGGGTGCGAATGGCGCGATCTTGGCTCAGCTGCCAACCTCCAGGCCTCTTGGGTCAAGTTGATTCTCCTGCCTCAGCCTCACCGAATAGACTGGGATGACAGCGAAACGCACGCACATCTGTGTAATTTTTTGGTAGTTTTTGAGTAGCGTTTGCGACCATGTTGTGAGGCTAGGCGGTCTTGAACTTCGCTGAGACTAGTGATGTCTGCCGCCTTCTGGCCTCCCAAAGTGTTGAGTTTACAGGCGTGAGCCACACACCGGCTATGTTCACTTCGAGTTGCTGTTTCGATGTTATTTTGAAGCTCTGATAATTAGAGTAATATTAACATTTGGATTGTTATATCCTCCTTGTTAAGCTTAGCTCCTTAGTTCATTATGAGATACTCCATCTTTGTCTTTGCATTAATTAGTTCTAAGTGTATCTTGGTACAGGTGGATACTGTTGGATATTGGAGGCATGAGCCAATCCAGCGGTCGTTGAGTAGGAATTTGAGAGAGAGGAGGAGTTGGGCCGGCCGGCCTTATCGTTTTTGCGTGATAGAGTGGTGGAAGGGTGTGTGGGTAGACAGCATGTATTGGTGGGGTGGGTGGTGAGCGGTCGGGGGTAGACAGAGGTAGGAAGTTAAGAGATAGGTGCCGTTTAATTGGAACGGGTGTGGTGAGAGTCTTGTGCCGCATTGGATGGCCTGATGATTTGGGTTGAGTTTAATAATAGCAGTAGCTGAAACCGGATACTACTGAGGCTTAGGTACGGGTCGGCGCAAATGAGTCGTTGATGCCAAGGTGTCGTTCGCAGTTGGGTTTGACTGTGCAGGCGCGAGGGTGTAGGGATTCGAACTGCGTGATGGTGGGGAGACGGTTGTGGAGCCACAAAAGTGGGAAGGATGCTACCAAGTGTGAGGAGGCGGCCGGCTGCAGGTTCCTGCCCAGTGAGCGTTTGTTAAGTATGAGCGCGTTGGACAGCCAGGATGTCGAGGTTGTGTGTCGTGGTGTGTGTTGCAAGGCGCTTCTTGTGTCGTGGGTGTTGGGGGCTGGGATGAGAAGTGGTTTTTTTTGTTGTGTGTGTTTTTGTTGTTTTTGTTTTTGAGAGGGAGAGTCTCGGCTGGTTGCCCAGGCTGGAGATGCCAGGTGGCGCGCGGAGTCGCGCGAGGCCGCAGCAAGTGCGGCGCTGCCGGGGTTTTACGGGCCATTCTCCTGACCCTCAGAGTCGCTCCCGAGTAGTTTTTGGGTATACAGGGCCCGCCAACTGCGGGCTGGCTAGTTGTGTTGGTGAGTATTGTTCTGGAGTGGAGAGCAGAGGGTGGGCAACCGGTGGGTTAGGCAGAGGTATTGGCGTCCTGGACCTATGTGATGGGCCGCCCGTCTCGCCTCCCGCAAAGGCTGGGTGACAGGAGATTCGGAAGCCACCGGCCGCGCGGCACCTGAATTGAGAATGATTCTTGATAATTTTTAGTTCTATCTTATAGGCCGTATAACTGATAGTGATTGAACAAGTATCCTGCTGTTTTAGTTTTTGCATTGTAGTGGTTGCTTATATGTTTTCAGTTACAGCGTGTTAATTTTAGTGCACAGGAACGTACTTGAAGTGAAGTATATCTGTGCTCGACTGAATGCTTATGAGGAACGCTGAGGAAGTTTGTTGTGTTTTGCGTTCCTCCAAGAAAGGATATTGTCGCCGAGGTGCCCTGGCTCTGGATGCTGGTGATAGATACCCAGGTACTGGTTGGTGGAGGCAGGTGCGAGGAGATTGCTTTGAGACCGGAAATCAAGGGACCACCCTGGGGCAACGATGTTGGGTGAAACCCGGGCGGATCGCAAAAAAATACAAAAAGACAGTTAGTGGGGCGCCGATTGGTGTGTGCAATGCCTGGTATGTCCAAGGCTACGTTGGGAGAGCTGGGATAGGGAGGGACGCGTGTATATTACGAAATGATAAATGTGTAGTTGTATATTAGTTAATTTTTTTATTTGCTTTTTTTTATGATTAAGTCGATGTTGAATGACTAATCTTTTCGGTAATTAGTCGATTAGCTGAGCATAAAGTGGGTTTATGTTATTGAGTTGACCTCATCACCTGTTACTTCCTCCCTCCCGCGAGGTGTAAGAATGCCAGGTGAGCAAAAGTGCTATGCTGTATTAGTGGCACTCTTTTGACGGCGCAGGTGCATGGGAATGGGGTGACTGGGCAGGCGGTACGTATGCCCCGGAATAAAAGAGGTTGAGAAGAGGAGTGGGGGGAGCTCGTGTGTCCGGTGGTGATGTTTGTGTGTCTTCTTCCCAATGATTTCGCGTGGGGGCGAGTGGGCCTAGAACGATTTTATGGGGCACCAGGGTGGACGAGTAGCGGTATGACCTATGGCTTAGAAGTAAAAAATGGTCTAATAGCGCTGTAGTAGTTTGAAAAGAGTACTTATCCGTCAGACGTACTACGAAATTTTGTCCCCCTCTCTTAGTTCAGATTTAGGACCTTTCGCCATTGTTAAAACATCTTGGCGTCCTAACATCATTAAGTTTGTTGGAATTGTCTGCCACACCCAGTTGCCTCCTAGATGTGTGTTGGTATGCTGGAAAAGAACATATGGAAAACATGTGTATGCGTATGTTGTAAAAAAACTTTGAGCTCTTACTTGTAGTAGTACATGTAGATAGCGAAACGACAGTGGTAGTTTTGAAGGAACTATGGAGGATGCCAGGGAACATATAAAAGATGTAAATGTTTTTTGAATTAATCGAGAGTAATAGTTGACTCATATAGGAACTTAGCCATCTAGAGAAGTGTTGGGTATAATATAGACTGTGCTATAGAATACCGTAGAGTTACTCTATAGCAGGAAGTTGAAAATAGGAAAAGATGCACACATCGTTGGTGTTCTTTGAATCATGGGACTATACTTTTTTTTTTTTCGCAAGCTGGGATGGTGTCACTCTGTTATGCGAGAGGGTGTGGAGTGCGGAGTGGCGAGTCGTCGGGCGTCACGCAACTGTTTCGACCTCCAGCGCAAGGAGTGGGAGCGCCGTTGGCACCCCGCCCCAGGGGGGGGGCCGCGCGTGGAGTGTGGCTGGCGACTACAGACAGCTGCCACCACAAGTTTCGCGCGCTAATTTTTTGGTATTTCGGTAGACATGGCCTTGTGTTGCCGAGGGCCAGGGGAGAGTCTCAAAACTCCTGAGTCAGAGTAATCCCCGTCTCTGGTTCCAAAGGTTAGGATTACAGGCGTGAGCCTACCATGACTGGTCATGACTTAAATTGAGGAGGATTTAAATGTGTCGAACAAGACGAAGGTGAAAGATCAAGCCTTGATTCATACTACTAATATCAATATATAGCAAGAGGGTTTTCTCTGACTATTCTCAGGTATATCCATTCTCACATTTTTGGTACTTGCGTGTAAGTGGCATAATATTCGTACACGAAATATTAGGAGTGTTCGAACTGTTCTCTACTTCTGAGCGCTTGTGCTACTACAGTCAAATTTCTGACTTATAGCAGAGCCATGACTTTTAAAGATATGTCGTCATTTCACAACCTGTGCGTAAAATTCTCCATCTGTTTCATCATCCACTGAGATGAAAACGCCAAATGTCATTCTATATGGCCTACGGAGGCTTCTACATGATCCTTCCCTCACCCTCATTAGCTCTCTGTATCTTATCTCCACCATTTTTTCTTTCACTAGTCTGCTGCGCAACCCAGCTATCTTTTCGTTTCGATTTCCTCATAGCACACCAGGTTATTTCAAGGTAGGGCTTTAGCCTCTACCTAGAGATCATCGAGCAGCGTCCCTTGGCTT